GTTAAAGAGAAATTTGGAGTTGGGATGACTTTCAAAACCAAAAAAGAAGCATGGGAAAATGTATGTGTGCAAATAAATGTGACTTTCCCACTTCTGTCCAGAAGTAAAGCCATTTTAGGATGGTTTGTGATTTGGTCTTAGTGACCTAGGAGTCCTCTTGACTACCCCTAACTTGTCACAGATTTGGGAGCTGGTTTCAGAGCTAAATCTCTTGGTGAAATACTCTTAGAGCAAAACATTTAGGAGACCTAAAATTAGGATTGACAAGCCCCTTATTTTTTGGAGCTACTTTTAGCCTTAAGATGTTTTGTGAATACGGCCCCTGGAGGAGGCCACAGGAGAGAGCAAGAGATATCCTGCTCTATCAACTGCCTGCTCTAAATATCAGTCCTCCTCCGAGGAGAATAGCAAACGTGCTTTCCGAAGATATAGCCTGGAAGGGTGGCAGATGAGAGTGGACTCCTCCCTGACTTTTTGCTCCCCGACTCTGTGGAGAAGTGCAGACACCCAAACTGCAAGGTGCAGTTGCCTGGCTTCCATCCACTGTGAAAAGAGCCGGGCAGAAGCTGAACTTCCTCAACGTGAAAAGATCACAGTAAAGGCATCGAGCGTGAAGTATAGGTGCCACTTGCGAGAACCTTCTTGTGTAATGCTGTCTCAGGCAGTGCTCCCCTCGCCTTAGAGGGTCGTATTTGAGCTTGCCTCTCCCGTTTGGCCCAGTACCTCCGGGTATCAGATGCCTGGAAATTTAAATCCATGCTATGGTAAGTCCACACGCTAAGCTCTGTGCACTTTCTGAAACCCACATAGTGGTAAGTGTGCATGTTGAACACTTTGCGCACTTTCTAAAATCCACAAATCAAATGGCAAAACAAAACTTTGAAGTATTATTCACATGGTAATTGTCAAGTAGACTTACACTACAGATCAAAAGTTTGTGGTCAGTAAGTTTTTTCTTTTTTTAAATTAACTTTTATTCAGAAAGAAAGAATTACTTCTTTTGAACTTTCTATTCATCAAAGAATCCTGGAAAATATCATGGTTTCACCAAAAATGTCAAGCAACACAACTGTTTTCAACATAGAAAAAAAAATGTTTCTTGAGCACCAAATCAGCATATCATAATGATTTCTGAAGGATCATGCAACACTGAAGTCTGAATAATGGATGCTGAAAATTTAGCTTTGCCATCACAGGAATAAGTTACATTTTAAATCTATTAAAAGAGTAAACAGTTATTAACTGTGTAAGACCTGAAATGTTCTCCCCATTAAACCAAACTTCAGAAACTCTCACAAAACAGTTTCCATGCAACAAAACAATAAAACTAATCTGGATCTCCAAAAAAAAAAAAAAAAAAAAAAAAAAAAAAAAAAAA